GTTAAATTAATTAGACCCTTCAGACATGATTTTCTGACAGTTTTTGAAACTATAAACGCTTACAATCTATTAAAAATTAAAATTAATAACAACATTAACCAATACTAACAATTATCTAAATCCACCTTACCTGTAAAACGTGAGGCAGTAATCCAAATTATCTAACGAGGTACTGCACTTTACTCCACTCAATCACAAATCACAAGCAAAATCACAAAATTCTGCTGCTGGATATACTTAAAAAAACAACTTAGGAATTGCACTCGGAAGAACGCACGATTTCCTTTCGATTCTGCCTTCTGCTGGCCTGGTGCTCGCCGACTCCGGCGGATTTTACATCCAACCTCGGCAATCTCCTGCACTGGCACTCCGCGATGATGACGGCGGCGGTACAGGTGGGGTCAGTACGACCAGTACCCAATAGTCCGGCGGCTTCACGAGGATTCCTTCCCGGTTTATTTTTAGGAGGAAATTTAATGGAAATTCGACGTTTTTGGGGAATTTTGCAGATGATATCATATTAATACAAAAATAGGTTTTTTATTATTCAATTCAGTTACTTAGAAAAGTATGTAAATTAATGTCTTTTCAGGCGTACTTTTGATTAATTGTGTTTTTAGTTTGAAGACATAATTTTTGTTTATTCAACTGTTTTCAACTAATTTTTCAACTAAGTCTTTAATTTATTCATTTAAATTAATATATTAAGTCATCTGTTTGATTATTGAAGTGCGCTTTCCGAGTAATTAATTTGATTAATTGCAATATTGAGTCACCATATTTAAAATCGAGTTTATTGTCATTTTCTTAAAAAACCAAAGTGTTGAAATTAGCAATAAAAGAAGTGGAGTATCGATGACTAGTTGATTTATGACCAACAATTAAGTCTCCGAAGATTAAAGGGTTGATGTTTCCATAATTAGTCCTGATTGACCCTTAATTAAAACATGTTATAAAGTAATAAATAATCGAACAAATTAAACGATCCGGATTCAGCATACTTTATGCCCGGCGATTATTTGCAGCATAAAGGCATTTAAATTGCCTCAATCGCGAACGGGCACAGAGGTTGATTTAGTGAGATTATCGATAAATAATTGGAAAATGAGCTAATAAAATATTGTAACCGGACTATTTGATATGGAACGGGGGCCTTCAGCAGTCGAGCGGGCGCAGCGTGTGGGCGAATCGGTCGACCTTTGCGACTTCGGCTAGCTGGAATTATATTTAATTTTTTTAATACCTTCATTCTTCATCGCTGCAACCGCGTTTTCCGAAACCAACATTAATGAATCCTCTCGGACTGACGTGTAAATTGATAAAGCAGTAAAGCAGCGATCGCTCTTTTGATACGGCGTATACTTGAATTTAAATATACAGTGACTTGCTTAAGAACTAACGATCGTAAAATGCGATAAAAATCTCGAAAATATTTCAAGAAATTTTGCAAAATTTCTACCTAGCACTACTACCTACAACTCTTCGAAACATTACTGTAAAATTGAAGGCGCTTGTAATTTTGGATGCGTTTGGGTTTGGAGATGTTGCTCAAATTAAGAGATAATTAGATAATTTGACTTTCAAATTCGCTGGGATTTCGTTTAACACATCGAAAGACATCAAGGTTAAGAATCGAAATAACAAATTCTGGTTTTGTTAGCGTGGTTGAAAAATAACGAGAGTCAACCGAGTCGGTTGTGGGATAAGAATCCGACTCCTCCAGCCTTGAAGATCGGTCGAAAATGAAGAGGCGGCCGTAAAATAAGTCGAGAACGCTGCTAAAATAACGCTTCTTTTCTTCTAATGACAAAATTATCTTCGAGCATATTCGTACGAGAATTGGAAACGCACAATGCCCATTGAAATGGTGTTTCCTTTGTTGGCATTCCGTGCGTAGAAGAAAGCACACTTTGTATTCTTCTCGAGTGTAAATATTAACAATTCCATTACTTATTCGACCAGCAATCCAGTAAGATGTTTATCCACTAATTGAAGTCTCGAAATTTTATAACTACGTGATGAAATTTCTAAACCAGTGAGCATAAACTTGTTCAAAATTTCTACTGAAAGTATCCACTTACATGTCTTGGTATTTACCTCGATTATGGATAATTTTTACCCTCATTGGAGAGAATGTATTGTCATTCAGATTATATATACTCTTTCATGTTTCAGAATGATTCAATAAATGTGAACACAACAAGCAATAATGCTCTATTATGTATGCAGCAAGCATGCGTATGACGCGTAAATCAGAGCTATGTAAAGTATTTCTCCAGTTTCTGAATATTAATTCGTATTATTGGCAATGTTATTTTCATGAGTCACTTATGGCAATCGGCACGTGGGCCGAATTGAGTCGATTGTCCGCTTACCACGTCCGAGCCATATTTGGCCACTCGAGGGCCAATACACTTTTACGTAGATTGTAAACACCAACTCTCTTTCGATCGGTTTTATTTTCGTTTGCAGAGAAGGAGTGCGCTTTAAGTGAAGTTAAATACCCGTAACGAATCCATCGTCGGCAATTCTTGCGATTCGTTTGTGTTATTTTTAAGTTTTTTTGCGTTAATGTCTTTGTTTTACGACTGCCCGGTTGACTGCAATTATGTTTCAAAAACCCTTTTAAAATCAAGGAAAACGTGTTTTATTTTCACAAAGCTAGTGCCCTTTCCTGGCATCGCTCATGATTCCACATACAAACTTTTGCTTTAAAATACTCTCAACTTCTTAAAAATGTATATGTAAAGCTCGCTAAAAAATTCGCCCGACTATTCCGTCTAGACTTCTTAAATGCATATTCATGTGCCAAAATATACGATGGGCAAGTTTCGCGCAATAAGTTCCCGGAATTGATTTAGGTGAAGTTGTAATTATATTATGCAGCCCGACGCTGCTCAATGATGCATACAAAAATGCAGCTATATGTCTCTAAATGTCGACTATCTGGTGATGTGGATTTATTTTTGTCCACCAGGACGTGAAGCTTAATGTCGGGGTACTTACAAAGAGAAATTCTATTGAGCAAAGATCTACTAATTACAAGGAGTTGGATTTTAGTGCCATTAATTAGAACCATCGCATCCTAATTGGATGTGGACATGCAAATTATTTTTAGAAATCAAAATTTTCCTTAAAAAACGACAAGTAGGTGTAATTTAACAGCGTTTAGTAACTGTTAACTTCCCTTTTTCGCGTTTTTTACTTTGATAAATCTCCATCTTTTCCCACCTATTCTGTCAGATTAATGTCTCAACAGTACGATTTTTTACATTACTGTAAATACTGCCCACCGTTCGCGAATCTAAAAAATCAATAGAAAGAGGAAAAAACTGCACAGACAACGATGGTTTGTTAAGAATTATAGTAGTAATAAAATTGCTAAACAAACTTGAAACTGGCCATAAAATCTTTTAATTGAAAACAAAGAGTGGTACTAGATAGAATAAGGTCGTCAGCCAACGCGCTAGGTTGTCGTTCACCTGTGTTCAGCAAGGTCAGACTATTTCGGTAAAATGATTGGAAGGTATTCTTCTGCTAATACAATGTATTGGTACTATAATAAAAGGAATTGAAATAATCATTATTCATCTAGAAAATTGTGGGAACAAAACCTTCAAGAGCCCAATTTTGCAGAGTAAAATTTTAACGAGTTTTCGATTGTTGTATAATATGTAGCAAATAAGTGGAATTAATCAAACGAAGGCATTATCCTAAAATACAAATCCGCTTTTTATTAAACTTGCAATACAAAAATTATTTAACTAGAAATTCAAATACATTATTCTAATATGTGTTGTGTATGTTTAATAAGATGGCTCGGCGATGTACGAAATTTTTATAACTTATACCTTAGGAATGTATATTAAAATGTTATTTATTATTTATTCATACAGTTTGGTCGGATTTAAATGCATCATATAGTAAGAGAGGTTACTGCAAATAGCCTGGCTTATTAAGTATCAAAATGAAAAGTTTCTGTAATATTAGAATTTATTTAACAACATTTATTCAATTATAATTCTATCTAATTTTACTTATAAATATAATAATTCGACCGGAACAGATACTATTGATATTTGTTGAATGTATTTGAGGTACAAACAGATTCAACAATGACCTGTCGTTTCGTACATCACCTTTGGCAGTATTAATATTTTAAGAAGATTATTAAGAGCACCAGAGGCATATCTACTAAAAGTTGATAATAAAATTTAAATTTTTGTTTTCATTACATGGATGTTTTCTTGGATTTTTTATTAAACAACGCAAAATTGAAAGATCATGAAAGCTGGTAATTATGTTTATGAATTTACAGGAAAAATATAATTTTTTCAATTTAATTAGCTATTTTGGCAATACTTTTTTAGAGAGCAAAATTTATAATTATTCAAGTTGTAATTTATGCAATCATGATTTTCTTTTCGACAAATAATTCGTTTACTTACATAATATAACAACGTCCACTTAAATTAATTTCTTACCATTTGTTGAGTCAACTTGCAAATACTAAAATCATACTTAAATTTAATTTAAATTACTTGGAAATGCAGCGTGAATATTGCCAGTTGAGCACAATATAAATTTAGAAATTTGGAATTAACTTATTTGCATTATTAGATTGTTTTGAAATTATTTATATTATAGGTGTTTAAATTGTATTTTTTAAATATTCATGGGGTTTTCTAATAGTAAGTTGTAGATAGATTTGTAAACCCAAAATTAAAATAACAGCTGTTCTGAAGAAAACTCTATTTAGGTGTAATAAGGTAGTGGAATAAAATTCAAAATTCATGAACTCTTCCTACTTCCTCTAATAATTTAAAGATTACGTCTATTATTTTTACTGTTTTATTAATTTCGTACCATAATAAATGCTTGCTCAAACACTTAAAATTAGCAAATTCTTGGAAAATTTTTGTTTTCAAAAGTTCCTTAAAAGTTAATACATATAACAGAGTTTAAGTTACAATTAATGAGCAAGGTAAATATTATATTTATAAGGGTGTTTGCATCACTTTACCAGATCTAGCAACATTTTAAAAGATTAATTTTGAAAAAAAAATAATTTTATTAGCTATATAATTTTTTTTGATTATTTTAAGTGATTTCTGAAGGTTCTTTAGCGATTTTATTAGAGTTTTGCATATTTTATTAAAAGTTGTCCCGAAAGATTTTGCTGATTTTTTAATTTGAAGGTGATTTGCAAAATGTATCTAAGAAATTCTTACACATATTTGTATTATTTGGATAAAACTTATTATTACAATAATCCTGAACCAGCATTTCAAATATTCCCTTCATATTGATTGAAGCAATATATTGTTTAACACTTATTATTCGCGAAATATTTGCAGGTAGACTCAATTTATCATATAGCAGTAGCATGTACATACAATCATCCCATCATTTCTACAATATTCAACATATACAAAAATCACAACATCCGCTCGTTTTACGCTTCCTGGATTTCCCCCTTAAACCCTGGCCCGTGGTGAAAATCGTGCCTGCTCAATTTATGCGCTAGCTCCTGCAAAACGTCCCTAAATATCAGCGAATCCACGTTCTGTCCCAACATGTAAAACAAAAACCAATCACCCATCTTGCTCCTCCTTACAATAGTGTCTACGACGTCCCTCCGCACTAGCCTGTACCTCATCCGCAGGAGGTACACCCTCATGCGCGGCGAAAATATGATAATTATCCTATAAACGACCGTCAGAAAAGTCAGTATGGCCAGCAGGATGAACCAGAACCACAGGAATATGTAGATTTTCTCGTTGACGACGTTCAAGGGCAGGATGCAGAGGGCGTCGTGGGTTTCCGGATCGCCGGAGACGCCGTACTTCCGGAAGGTGCACTTCGTCAAGCGCGGGAATATTTGAATCATCGGATCCACCCTGTCCTCTTGGTCATCGTTGATGAACGACAGCACCTCGATGCCGAACATCATGAAGGCGCCGTCGAAAAATTTGTCCATCAGGAACATTTGACCTACGAAGAGAATCGATTTTTGATAAGAGGAATTAACGAGTTTATGAAACCCACCTATAACGTTCAGTAGGGCCAGAACTTCGCACAAATAATACTTGTATGCCCACCAATTGTGGTACCGCAAATTCTCCCACAAGTAGTCTATCATCAGCTTCTTCTTCTGCTTCTTTTCGATTTCCGTGCACACGGCGACGTCGAGGTCCATCATCAGGGCGTGGATTTTTCCTCCTTCCCACGACTTCCATAACCACCTGGGTGCATAAAATAGGATTGCCTAGAATTAAAAATTCGCCAATTGTTACTCGCACTTGTCGTTTGTTGTTGCACAAATAACCAATCATTAATATGAATTATTCACCGCATGAAATCGAGATATGTGCGGGTATTCAAGGAGTGTTTTTCATTAAAAATTTGCATTTTGTTTTATAAAGTTAATAAAAGAAATTACACTTTAAATGTCTTACAAAATCTTAACAAATTCATTAATACCACAAAAAACCTTTCAACCTTTCAATTACTCTAAAAACCGGGTTTCAAAAACTCCCTTTAAACGACGCTACTGGATGCTTCTACTCAAGGGGAAATTATTAGAAGATATAATTGGTCGAACAAAAAACTTAATTATACGACATGTTCTACAATCTCGTAGTTGATAAACAGTTTCAAATGAACGGTTTTTGTAATTATCCGTACGATAATCGCGGAGGAAACATTGGCCCGGGAGTAAATATCTCAAAACTCATTTTCTATTTAGTTTACGTAACCTGCTTTTATTACAGTAACTCCGGTTAAATCAAATAAACACGGCATTTTTCGTTTGCTCTGTCAGCTTGCTCTTAGAAAAAAAAATCAAAAACTCGTGTTAAAAAAGTTTTACGTTAATTTGCCATCTATCGAATGTCATTAGTCTTTAATTATTCAGAAATTCGATGAGCAATGTAGACTTATTAATAAGTAGCTTCTAATAATTTTACCTGTATAATTAATCGAAGTTTTACCATGGAAACTTAAAATAGAAGTCCCGTTACGTAAGATTATACACATACAAAAAGATCTACTGTAAATGAACTAATCATTAAGGTTCAATGGTAAGAAAAAAATAGATTTCTTAACAAAATAAACTATCGAATCACCCTGTATATGTTAATTAATATTAGTTCAATTGAATTTAAAATTAGTTATATCATCTTCCGAAATATTACACCGTTATGTCAACATTTTAAACATCTAGGTAATTATAATCAGATGTTTCCACCAAATAAATTTATCGCCTCCATCTAATTCCAAATGGTTCTAATATATTGTGAAATAAATTAGGTGCGTTTAAAAAACGAGAGATTCCTTTCATTTGATGTATTTAATGGCAGTTAACGTGAAGTCGTACACTTTTATAATATTCCCAAACCAAATAAAACTATTTCCTGATTTATTAGGGTAATATATCAAGGGGTTTCCCAATTCGAAATACCTTTAACGTAGCTTTAAAAGCGCATTAAAACAACAAGAAATGAGTGATCAAAGCGTTTTTGACTGTGAAACGATTATATTTGCTGTAATAACTCTCTAGCCTTAACGATGTCGAATACCTATACACCCATAAAACTGTTGAGCAGTGTTTTCTTGAATGTATTTAAATCTTTTATTGCGTAAGTGTCAATACTTTTCCGCGAATTATAAAACCGAACGCGTGAGGTGCTAACAGAAAAATATGATGAATAATTCACGGGTATTTCGAATTCACGCTCGCGATTGGTTTTTCGGTAAAAGCCGAACCAGGAAAAATGTTTAATTATTTTAATGCTTTTCCTTAAATTGCAAAAAGAGAAACTTCGTCACGTTCGACAGGTTATTAATCCTCGTCTAACGTTCGTTTTCTTTTCAACGTGCGTTTCCCCGGAAGAGTAAATGTAATAAGGTGCTCTATGATTAGATAAATACCATTTTTTAAAATAATTTGTACAAAGTGTACCAAAAAAGCGGTGTTGTTTTAACACCATCTATCTCTGTATTTAAATACCCTGTATGCATGTAGAAATAAATATTTAATTGACAAAATACTCGCGTAAACATAAAATATTTACGACTTTTGGCAACAGAAAATTTGAAGAAGTAATTTTTTTGTAAAAATAATTTATACCATAATCACAAAATGTTGGCATCTGTTGGCACTGTGTACGTTTAAAAAGTACATAGTATGTCCAATGAAGATAGTAATTATTATACTTAATATAACTTAGAATAATCAGTCACTATTTTGTTTTTTTTTTAATACTGTTAGTGAGACACCCTGTGTAAGTGATTTTAGAATCAATCTAGAATTGTTATGTAAGAAAAAAATATTTTCTTTGAGCACAATTCGGAAGGCTCCTTTTGTATTCGCATGTAAAAAACTGCTATTTGCACAAAAATAGTCCGTTTCGGACAATGAAAACAGAAATATGCACGCTGACTCTGACCAATATGGAATAATCGTTTCGTTTCCTTTATCGCAAAACGTCTTTCGGAAGTTCATACATACAAACAAAAGCGCAGAAAATCCTGCTAGCGTATCTATATCCGAAAATAATGCTGATAGCAAATTTGCTCCGGGGAAAAAGATAAATTACCAAGTGTTGAACCTTCATTAAATCTCAAAAACTCTCCTGTTTTCGTAGGTGTAAATTTTCGAATTGTTTCAATACCTAATCTTTTACACATAATAAACTAAACATATCGTAAGGTAAAGGAAAAGTAGGTGGCAATCTATAAATATCAAAACAATGAATTATATCAGAAAATTGGCCCAAGGTTAGAGCAAACTGTTCCCGTTCAAGAATCGACGCTTTATAAAAATATTTATATTATCACTTTTAATTATCTACCTTCCCGTAAAATCCAGTTTTCGCTAAATATAAACGAACTGCGGATGCTCAAGTCGAGCTCGAGTCGATCACGTTCACCATTTTCAGTATACCTTCACCTTTTGCTTTCATTAATAATTTTTACTTCTGGCAGCTAATAGTTCGGCGTATATAATTAATTTTAGACGATCTCGCGCATTATTGCTCAACCGACCCAAAAACGAGCCTCAAAGTTTATGCTAAGGCTGATTGAAAAAAATCTATATGCTCAAATAAATACACACTCTTCGTATATTTATATAAAATTATCGTTTCAATATTTTGACGTATCACATTATTGACAATATACTATGTCTTACTCGCTTCTAAAGCTCGACATGTCACTTTAATCTCCCTGAATATATTTTCATTAATTTCATGACAATTTCCAGCGAATTATAAAAATTCTCACACTTAACATAATCCTCAATATTTCTCTCATCAAAAAAATAACATTAATTCTAATTGGTTGGAGCAGCTCAAAAACGTTAATGTAAGTTTAACGACCATATCCTAGCATTTCATCTTACGGCCTTTTAATTTTAAAAGAAAAGAAGTTATGAAAAATCTATCAAACTATTAGCATAAAATTCGACATTAACGGCTCGATAGCCACAATTTACAATTTTATGCTAACGTTTTAGTAGGTTTTCAACAAGTCCGGGCGGCATCGACGTTCCGCATTCAATCGACAATTTTAAAATGTTATTTTGATATTAACGCGCGTAGACCGAACATTTGTACAACTTAAATTTATCGTCTAATATTATTGGAAAAGTACAACCACTTAACGAACATAGCGCATTTATCTTGTTCTATTCTTGAAACCTTCGAGGTGTATAATGTATGTAATATTCGAGCGGCGAGGTCAAAATCGAAATATAGAATCAAATCTTTACTAACCGATACATTTTTAATCATTTCATATTTGTTTAGAGCAATGGTAATAAAAACAATAACTTATCTGCTAAAGAGAGTGTTCTTTTGAATTTTGAAGTTTTTTTACAAGTTCTGGAGAAGGTTCCACTCTGTAACTGATTCCAATTTGAATCTTTGCAACAAAAGCTCGACCTGCGGCTGAACGCAAACTTGAGATCGAGTTTATTGGACTATTTTAACTTTTATTGCAGAATTGCATTTGCATTAAAATATTTAACGCTTTAATATCGATATTTAATGATCATTTTTGTCCAGATTACGATCCTAAACTCGCTAAAATACGATTTTGTTATCCTAAGTAAAGTGTACGATTGTACGCGTATTGTAATACAGGGTGTCCGAGTAACACGTGTTTTTTTAATTTTATATTTAACAATCATCTGTCCTGATTAAATCTAAAAAACGGGTATCATTTGTAATGGTTTGACAGGATATATTTGTAATCTAAAACGATTTCGAATCTTGTAACATTTATTTTGACATCAATCATTTTTTAGTGAGAAAAAATGAGATCGTTTGGCAATGATCCAGAATTTAACTATTATAATCAGATCGTTGATCTGTTAATCATAAACATACAAGATCTCATAAAACTAAAACGCTGTATTTATCAAATTTCGTTAAAATATTGAGAAAATTTATGGAAAAAATAACCGTTTGGTTCATAAAATATTACTACAAACCAAACGATAAGTAGAAGGAGAAAGAAAAATAGAATAACACCAAACAAGAATAAGTAAGAATTATGTCCGAATTTTAACATGAAGGTAATAGTTTTCATTTTATACTCGAGATTTCCAGTACTTTAGACTAGACTGTGAGGTTTTATTTTTAATCATTTTCCAGCTTCTGTTTTAAATGACCGGTTATTAATAGATATGCGGAAATGGTTTTATTAGTTAACTAATAAAACATATCTTAAACCTGCACCTCCTGCTGGAAATAAGCTGCATCTTTGTTACCTTATTTTTAATTCGCGAGCCCCGTCCAGACGGATTCCTCCCGATAATTTATAGCTCGCATAATGACCATCTATCTTTCCGCTAACTTTTTTTAATTTATGTCGTATTTCGAAAAACATGCATCACTTTCTCCCGCGTGCCTTTCTCAGCCTATCCATCAAACTTTAATTAAAACATCGCGGGCAAAGCGGGATAGATTGGCGCTATTAACGTCGTAAAAACTAGTTAATAATTATGGAAACACTCCTCTTCATTTAAGTTGTCGTAACCATCTTCTTTTATTTATTTTCCAAACATCCAAAAATAAACACTAATAAGCTTCGGAGATTCTGAAGAATGCCAACTGCCTACCGACTCCGCTCTGTTTCTTGTACAGATCGTTACAGACTATACATCAAACGCTAAACGCAGGACGTCGTGCTCCAGAATCTGGAATCTGATGGCGATGAAAACTCGCTGGGAAATGGCTTCGTTGAAAAATAGACCAATTTTCT